CCCGCCCCGCCGCGGGGAAGCCAACCGCCCGCCGGGGAGGGCGGCGGCCGTGAGGGCACTGCTCGGGTGGGTGTTCTTTAACTGGGTTTGGCGGGCGGGCCGAGGCTTGCGCCGCAGCCGCCAGGGTGCCGGGAGGTCCGCGGCCTGGCCGGGCCCTCTCCCTCCCGCACCGCCTCCGGCTGCCGGGTTTGAGTATCCCCGGTTCCTAGCAGGCAGCTTGGATGTGGCCGCCGCCTCCTCCGGAGCCTGAAAGCCCGCGTAGCGTGGGCGAAGCCAAGGTGTCGCGGTCAAATCATCCAGGCACGGCCCTGCGGCAGCCCAGTCCCGTTCACGGCGTTCTGCTAGGGCACGGCTGTGAGGGATTTACGCTCGGCTGTGACCACCGAGCCCCTGTCAAAGGCAGGCGCTGCACGGCGACTACAAATCTGTGGTAAGGCCTTCCGCTGACAGCGGTGGTACACCACTTCCAGCGTTCGCCCTGGGCTATTTTAAGATATGCTGCCCTAAATCTAAAGGCCTGTGACGCAGAAGTGACTCGCGGATTTTAAAGAGGAATGTTAACGGAGAGGCAAGTTTGATGGTTACTGAATCGCCATGGTTTGTGTTTCACGTGTTCTCCAGATTCTTTAAGCTGTACCTGGACACCTCCCTGCAGATGGGTTCCCGTGTGCGCACGGGTCTGCGAAACACTTTGGTGTGAGGAAACTCTCCAGCGTTTGAGGCGCATTGCTTCAGTTCAAAGGAGCGCAACTTTGCGCAGCAAGACATTCTCCTTCTGTAAGATTACAGGTACCTTCAATTACTTGGCTGTAGCGGGATCTGTACCAACGTAGATCTATGCAAATAGAGATCACACTTAAGATTATGTAAACTTTTAAGATTATTTTCTGGTTTTATCACTCTGTTTTCATTCATTTAATAGCAGATCTTGGAAAAATCATCTTTTCATTACCAGATTATTAATGTCTCTGATTTCATGCAGATCTTTAACATAGAGAAAAATACTTAATTGCATTTCTTTGTAAAAGATGAGAGGCTCTTGTACTGAAGCTCATAGTAAGCAAGTGTCTCTCCTTTGAGGATGACTGAACGGCATTGTGAATCCTTACAACATTCCCAATTATTGCTATGTAAATGAAAGGCTGTTTTCTATAATCACATTCATTTTCTGAGTTCCAGGTCAGATTCCCTTCTACAAGCTCACTGTTGAGTATTTCCGTGCAGTTTCAGTGTCACGCTCTTTGGAAGTACTGCCACAGTTTGACCTCATCCTTATTCCTAGTGATTACAAGATTACTGTTACTTTTAATTTCAACACTGCCCTCATTCAATTCATATCTCATTATAATAGGAGTTCCAACCTGCATACCAGAGGCAAGTAGGTCCTGCAAATGTGTAGAGTCAGGGAAACACACATGAGTGGACCAGCTGTTCCCTTCGCAGGGCTGGTGTTGATTTGACAGTCCTGGAGAGCCTAGCAAAGTCAGGTCAGAGGAGCTCCACATAGAAGTGTTCTAGTATCCAGATAGAGCTGCTTCTTTGAACAGTGCTATCCCAGAGTTTTCTGTGGGAGAGCACAATGACTCTTCCTAACATGTCATAGGACAGAAACAGTCCAAGCATGAGTTTTATAGCATCCTGCCTCTCCTTTTTTTTTTTATATTACTTTGACATTCTCAGTTATCAAGAAAGATTCTTTATCCTTTTTATCTCTTAAGAATTGCTTGATAGGTGTAGTCTATTTTGCATGGGGAACATTTTCTTAAGGAATGGGGAAGAAAGAGGACATTGATTGTTAGAAGCTCACTTGCTATTCTCACCTTCTGAGAGAGGAAGAGTGTGTCTTTTACATCTTTTGACAATGTGTTGGTACATCTAACTTCATGGAAGTAACTACCAAAAGGAGCACCTCAGAGATAATTCAGTCTTGACCATCATTCTTCCAAAGCAAGTTTCTAAGTCGCAAAGCTAAAAGATACACATCAAACTCCATTAGATAGTGACTGATTACCTATACTAATGATGATGCAGTTGAAGTTTCATTGAAAGAGACTTTCCAAGAAGAGATCTTTTGTTTGGAGTAATTTTAATGTACATATTAGGGAATCTAATCTGAGGTTTGTTTAGATCTGAAATTGACAGAATGATCTCAAGGATACTTTTTTTATTCTCAACTTCTCTAATTTCAGCTATAGGAAGCTTGCATCTACTCAGATGTAGTGGCATCGCATCCAAAAAACAAACAGCTGGTTGAAAATACACTCAAGTAAACAAGGAACACTTTCTAGCATGGTATACTAATTATTTGATACATCATGCAGCTCGTATAACCCTCTAGTGTAATAATGTGATTACACAACCAGTTCTGGTATAAATTTCCTTATGAAGCGGCACTTACTTGTAACGTCTCATAAGATGTGGTAGTTTGAGGTTTTAATGGTATAAACAGAAATCAATGGGACTGAAGCCATCATTGACTAATTCCTGATGATTTATATAATAGAGCTCATGTAAATTTCAATAGCCAACTGATGCATGTTCTGAGAAAAAAATTCCATCTTCAAATGCTGTCTCACTCAAAAGTTAGCAATTTGGTGGGAGGAGGAAGGGAGAAGAAGCAGTAGGAGTAGAGAACAAGACAGAGAAGAGAATATTGCAACAGCATAACTCCATGGTTGAACCAAGAAGGACAATAACTGATCAGATATATGGAATAGCTTCTTCATGCAGAACAATGGAGTAGTCTGAGATTTTTCAGCATGGAAGAAGGAATAACATGAGGGGACATGATAGTGGTCCATGAAATCATGAGTGGCATAGAGAAGATGGATGGGGATGGACTGTTCAGTCTGTCTTAACACAAGAACCAGAGGCCAGTGAAGCTGGTATGAATGGGGTCATGAAATTAATAATAATAAAATAGTTCTTCACATAATGAGTGCTAGACCAGCAGGACTCTTGTCAAAGGATGTTGCTGATGCAGAAAGTTCACAAATTCAAATACTTGGGGGAGAGAGTCACTGAGAGTAACTAAAGAGACAAAGACATCAGGCTTAGGAAATCTACTGAGCTGAAAACAGCTACAGGCAGGGAGAGTGTCCATTTGAAGTTTGCCCAGCTCCTGCACATCTCTAGGCATCTGCTGCTAACTGCTTTTAGAAAGCAGGAAACTGAGCTCAGTGGACCATTGATTTGAACAACCATGGCTGTTCTTATGTGCAGTATAATCAATCAAAACATCCCTCAGTGAGTCAGTAGCCTGCATTCACTAGGGAGTTTCAAAAGCTCAAATGACTCATAAAATAATTTGGCTTCTAGTTACAATCAGAATTTGGAGATACCTATTTTGAATAATATCTCTTAGCATGGTATAGTCAACCTAGATACACAAAATAGTAATTAGAGGAGAGTAAACAATCCACAATTAAGTGTTACTGGCTTATTAAGACTTTCCTAGGTCAAGGCAAGAAATAATAGCAACGTTGAGATGAGAAACAATTTGCATCTTATTAATAGGTTAATCTTTTTCTTATCTTCTATTTTGTCTGTTACACAATTAACTTTTATGCTTAACAGCATATCTTCCTCTTCATTAAGGCTTATCTTAAAAAAACAAAAAACAAACCCCACAAAGCTTCACCCCTTCCCTTTTTCCAGCATCATTACTGAGATTACTATTACGTAAAAACCTTTGAAGTGACAGAGTAACTTGGGCGTCTTGTGCAGGTCAAAATACAGAAAATAACTGCATTCCATGGGAAGATTCCCTCTGTTCCTAAAAATAACAGCATTTGTTGTTGTTGCTAAAGCTATGGCATACCGTCTTCTATCTTAGAAATATATTAAATACATAGGAATATGTCAAAAATATAGAAAAGAACAAATTACCAAAATAACATAGGCCTGGAAAATATGGTTGGGAGATCTTTTACTACCCACGTATTATGGAGCTAGTAGCATTGCTCTCTTATTACGTTGTGAAGAAACTAACAGAAAATGGATGGGTATTTTTACCTTTTGCCAGTAAGTAACTTGTGTCCAAGAAGTAGAAAACCCAAAGTGCATTTGACATATTGCCTAACTAGCACACTCTTAACATAATTACATTATTCCAGTTCCAGTCTTCCCTACCACTCCTGGGGAAACTTTAAAATTATTGTTATTTACATTCACTTTTATGACACAAGTAAAAGCAATGCTGAGAAACAGTATTTTACTTGATTACAGTTCCTGCACAGCATTTGCACGATTCAGCACTATCGTATTTCATACGCTTTGTACTACGTTTCCCTAAACAGAGCCAGCGTTTACTGTGTCCTCAGAAGACCTCAAGAAAGCGTTTCAAGTGTTTATTCAAGCAACATCAACAGAGATCAAGAGGATTGTTTATGTAGCTCGTAAGTAGCGGTGGGTCCACTCACGGGGCCCGTGGGGCCGGCAGGTCTCCCACCCGTCCCGGAGGCCAGGTCTCCTCAGCAGGGCATCTTCAGGTGCGTTTTAACCTGAGAATGTTAAAATACTCTCTCAGGTGAGTGGGTTTTGTTTTTCTGCAAGCAGTAAACATGGTGCTGCTGCCCTGAAATGGCACCTTGAAACACCTTGAGACCGACCCTTTGACCTTACAGGGACCACATGGTAATCCCAGGGAGAAGACCGCATGTGGAAACTACTGCGTTAGCAGAGCGCGACATCCATGTCAAAGAATCAAAAGTCTGAAATCAAGCAGCCTACAACGCGCTGCTGCTGCGCTCTGCAGCCCCTGCTGCCCCGCTGCGGCCCCCTCCCGGCGGCCGAGGCAAGCCGCAGCGGCTCCCCGGGCGCCACCCCGCCCCGGCCCAAGATGGCGGCCTGGCTTCCGCGCCCGCCTCCCGGATCAAACATGGCTGCGGGGCGCAGCGCCTGCCTTTGGACTACAAGTCCCAGGAGCGAGGGGGCGCGGCGCGGCCGCCGCCCGTGCCGGGTAAGCGGTGGCGGCGGCCGGGGCTGGCGCTGCCCTGGGATGACCCCCCCTG